GAGAGGCAGAGCCAGCCTGGGCCTCTGACTCTTGCTGGAGCTGGGGTGAGCAGGGCCTAGGAGGCAGGCCCTGAGCTCTAAGGTCCAGCCCATGTTTCCTCTGCCTTCCCCTCTCTTCAGGTCCTGGGGAGTCTGAAAAGGTGCAGCAACTGGAGGAGCAGGTGCAGAGCCTGACAAAGGAGCTGCAAGGCCTTCGGGGTGTCCTGCAGGGACTGAGTGGGAACCTGGCAGATGTGCAGAGGGCTGTGGAGACAGCATTTAATGGGAGGCAGCAGCCAGCAGATGCAGCTGCCCAACCTGGCGTGCATGAAACCCTCAACGAGATCCAGCACCAACTGCAGCTTCTGGACAACCGTGTGTCCACCCATGACCAGGAGCTGGGCCACCTCAACAACCATCATGGTGGCAGCAGGGGCAGCAGCAGTGGCAGTGGCAGGGCCCCATCCCCAGCCCCAGCTTCTCCTGGCCACAGTGAGGAGCTGCTGCGACAGCTGGAGCAGCGACTGCAGGAGTCCTGCTCTATGTGCCTGGTGGGGCTGGATGGCTTCCGCCAGCAGCAGCAGGAGGACAGGGGGCGGCTGCGAGCGCTGGAGAAGCTTCTGGCCTCTGTGGAGGAACGGCAGCGGCAGCTTGCAGGGCAAGCCATGGGCCGCAGGCTCCCTCAGGAATGCTGCCCTCCAGAGCTGGGCCGGCGATTGGCAGAGCTAGAACGGAGGCTGGATGTAGTGGCCGGCTCGGTGACAGTGCTGAGTGGGCGGCGTGGCACCGAGCTGGGAGGAGCTGCCGGGCAGGGAGGTCACCCCCCAGGCTACACCAGCCTGGCCTCCCGCCTCTCTCGCCTGGAGGATCGCTTCAACTCCACCCTGGGGCCCTCGGAGGAGCAGGAGGAGGGCTGGCCTGGGGCTTCCCGGGGACTGGCCCACTGGCTGCCTGCTGCCCCGGGCAGGCTAGAGAAGCTGGAGGGACTGCTGGCCAATGCGAGCAGGGAGCTGGGTGGGCGGCTGGATCTGCTAGAAGAGCAGGTGGCAGGGGCTGTGCAGGCATGTGGGCAGCTCTGCTCTGGGGTCCCTGGGAAGCAGGACTCTCAGGTCAGTGAGATCCTCAGTGCCTTGGAACGCAGGGTGCTGGACAGTGAGGGACAGCTGCGGCTGGTGGGTTCAGGTTTGCACAAGGTGGGAGCAGCTGGGGAGGCCCAGCAGGCCATGCTAGAGGGACTGCAAGGGGTCGTAGGCCGGCTCCAGGACCGCATGGATGCACAAGACGAGGCAGCTGCAGAGTTCGTGCTGCGGCTCAATCTTACAGCAGCACGGCTGGGCCAACTGGAGGGTCTGCTGCAGGCCCGTGGGGATGAGGGCTGTGGGGCCTGTGGAGGTGTCCAAGAGGAACTGGGTCGCCTTCGGGATGGTGTAGAACGCTGCTCCTGCCCCTTGTTACCTCCACGGGGCCCTGGGGCCGGGCCAGGTGTTGGGGGACCAAGCCGGGGGCCCCTGGATGGCTTCAGTGTGTTTGGGGGCAGCTCAGGCTCATCCCTACAGGCTCTGCAAGGAGAGCTCTCTGAAGTTATTCTTACCTTCAGCTCCCTCAATGACTCACTGCATGAACTGCAGACCACCGTGGAGGGCCAGGGCGCTGATCTGGCTGATCTGGGGGCCACCAAGGACAGCATCATTTCTGAGATTAACAGGCTGCAGCAGGAGGCCACAGAGCATGCTACGGAGAGTGAAGAGCGCTTCCGGGGCCTGGAGGAGGGACAGGCACAGGCTGGCCAATGCCCCAGCCTGGAGGGGCGACTAGGCCGTCTGGAGGGAGTCTGTGAGCGGCTGGACACCGTGGCTGGGGGACTGCAGGGCCTGCGCGAGGGCCTTTCCAGACACGTGGCTGGGCTCTGGGCCGGGCTACGGGAAACCAACAGCAGCAGTCAGATGCAGTCAGCCCTCCTGGAGAAGCTGCTGGGGGCACAGGCGGGCCTGGGCAGACGGCTCGGTGCCCTTAACAGCTCCCTACTGCTCCTGGAGGACCGTCTGCACCAGCTCAGCCTGAAGGACCTCACTGGTGAGGGGGCATGGGGGACCCCTTTCAAACCCTTTCTTTCTCCTCCCCAACTCCACAACAGCCCAGCCTTGATCTCACCTGCTTTCTCCCACCTCTGCCCAGCATGAATTGCAGCCCCAACCACTGTCCCACTGTTAGTTTGTACACAAGAGATGATGCAAGGACCTAGCTTCCTGCCCTCCCTCTGGCTGCTCAGATGGGTTTGTGGGTAGGTGAGATGATGCAAGGACCTAGCTTCCTGCCCTCCCTCTGGCTGCTCAGATGGGTTTGTGGGTAGGTGTGTTGTTGCTCTGCCAGCCAGGTACCCAGTATGGGCAGCGAGGGGCCCCATCTCCCCACCACCTGCAAAGCCCCACCTGGTTCCATCTCCCTGTCCATGGAGCCACCACCTGCCCTGTTCATTGGATACTTGCTTTATGGCTCTCCTTCAACTTAGTTTTGTCACTATAGGGCCTGCGGGTGAGGCTGGACCCCCAGGGCCTCCTGGGATGCAGGGGCCCCCAGGGCCTGCTGGACCTCCAGGACCTCCAGGCAAGGATGGACAAAAGGGACCCATCGGGCTGCCAGGTATGTGGGCTGAGACCCTTGCTGCAGTGAGGGTTGCCACTCCCCTGGGCAGCCCCAGGCTTGATAGTCCACTCTGAACTTGACAGAGAAAAGGAAGAGGTGAGGAACCGGGGGTCCTATAGGGCCGATAGGGGAAAGATAGAGGAAAGGGACTAGGAGCTGGGACAGTCACAGCATTTGGCTAATTGGATATGTTGGCGCCTCTGCTGTATTGGAAACTAAGGCTGAGCTGACAAGGGCTATCTGGGGTGTGAAGGGCTGGAGACTAGGGCTCACAGCCGAGCAGTTGAACAGAACAGACCCTACCTATTCCTCCTTTTCTTGATATCCCCATTCCTGCTTTGAAGTCCACATAGGCCCCAGCACAGTGGAAGAGACTCAGCAGATGTTTGCTGAGTGACTTAGTGAGAGCTGCCTTACTTCTTACTGCACCCTTTCCTCTTCCCACAGGTCCCCAAGGTGAACAGGGTAAGTTCCTCTCATGTGATTCTGGAGGGAGAAGAACTGAACTAGGGGTTGGAGGATGGCAGTCCTCAGGCAACCCTCAGGCTAGATCTAGAAGGAGAAGGGGGGCAGGTCAGCTCTGCCCCGGGCATCTGCTCTAACACCCACCCTACCCCCCCAGGAGTGGAGGGGGCACCAGCAGTCTCTGTGCCCCGGGTGGCATTTTCAGCTGCGCTGAGTTTGCCCCGGTCTGAACCAGGCACAGTCCCCTTCGACAGAGTCCTGCTCAATGATGGAGGCTACTATGATCCCGAGACAGGTAAGCCCGGGAGGGGGCTGCACTGAGTGCTCGGGGAAATGGGCGAGGCTGTGCAGTGACACCTTCTCATACATGCCTCTTCCGACAGTGTGAATCTTTTCACTCCCTGAGTTGGGGAGACCCCTGCTCTTTCCTTCGTTTAATCATTCTCGCCACAGCTTGGGCTGGGAGATGGGGAAGGGAGGGGAGGAGTCATTCAGTCAACAGGCCTTTACTGGGTCTGCTCCTGCCCAGGCACTGTTTTAATGCTGGGGATTCAGTACTGAACAAAACACCAAATTCCTTGTAGCTTACATGCTAGTGGAGAACAGGTGAAGAGGCTCAGCGGGTCCCTTCCTAATCCAGGAATTCTGGGTGGGCTTCCCGAAGCCTTCCTGATCCTGGCTCTGTCTCCGCTCCTGACGGCCATCCTTGTCCCCAGGCGTGTTCACGGCGCCACTGGCCGGACGCTACTTGCTGAGCGCGGTGCTGACTGGGCACCGGCACGAGAAAGTGGAGGCCGTACTGTCCCGCTCCAACCTGGGCGTGGCCCGCATAGACTCCGGCGGCTACGAGCCCGAGGGCCTGGAGAATAAGCCGGTGGCCGAGAGCCAGCCCAGCCCGGGCGCGCTGGGCGTCTTCAGCCTCATCCTGCCGCTGCAGGCAGGGGACACGGTCTGCATCGACCTGGTCATGGGGCAGCTGGCGCACTCGGAGGAGCCGCTCACCATCTTCAGCGGCGCCCTGCTGTATGGGGACCAGGAGCTCGAGCAGGCGTAGACAGGGGACCGGCTCGACCCGCCCGAAGTGCCTGCGCCGGCCCAAGAGCCAGCGAGGGCGGCGGGCTTCTCGGGGTCTCGGCCTGGGACGGGGCACCCAGCCCCTGGCGAGCGGCCGCACCCGCCGCGGTACTGGCGCCCAGAGCACGCCGGTTCGGGGACTCCGGGGTCCCCTAGTCCAGACTCGTATCCTGACCACTGTTCCCTCCAGGACCTGGACTGCGGAGGGGCCGATCCTCGCACCCTTTGCTCCCTCAACCGGCCCTCTAGGCCGATTCCCTGGGCTCCAGGGCTCTCTTGAGCAGGCTCTGGCCCCACCGCCACACTAAACTATTCAGGAATAAAGACACTTGGTTTTTTCTAAAAAAAAATGAAGCCACCGTTCTGCTCCAGTACGTGTTCGGGGGTAGAAGGAGGACATAGGGGACGGGCGGGGGAAGACGGCGGCCTACAGAGGGCATCCCGGGTTCCGGACCGGCCTCGCCCTTCCAATCATCTCGGCCCGGGTGGCTCTGCCTGCCATGGGCTCGGGGGGCGCGGACCGCAACGTGCTTCGGCCCCTTGGGGTCGCCTCGGGCACCTCCCCTCATCAAGCCCTGCCGCAGGAGTCCGCCAGGGGGCGCTCGGTGCCTCCCGTCACGTGACGCCCGCCCACCTGGCCGGCCTGGCCGCTGGGCGGCGTGGGCGGGGCCTCTGCTGGGAAGGGCCGGGCTTCGGGGGCGGGGCAGCCGCGACGGCGCGAGCCCAGGCTTAGGCTGCGGGGGCGGGGCTGCGGCTGCCAGGCCCGCTCAGTCCCTCCCGTCCAGGGTAAGGAGTCGGAGCGGGAGGTGCAGGAGAGGGCGGGAATGGTGGCGCATTTCTAGAGCACTTTCTCTTTGCATTCATGAGATTGCTTAGCCGCGCTTTGGAGAGGTTTGCATCAGCTCCAAGTCCATCTGACGAGTGAGTAAACTAAGGCCGAGTAGTGGGAAGCGTTGCCATCTGCAGGGCCAGGCAACCTGCTAAGGGAAGGTCAAGGACCAAGACCTGGGCGTTGGCGCTCCCAGGCCAGTTTGGGTCAGTGGGCGTCGGGAGAAAGGGCCCTGCTCCTTTCCCTGCACCCCAACTCACCGCACCCCTCTCCGCTGCAGGAGGCTCCCTGGAGGAGGTTCTGCACTCGGAGGAGGAGCCAGGGTAGCCCCTGGGAGCGGGGACACAATCCTCCAGGATAAGAGGCATTGCTGGGGAAGAACCGCATCAGCCGGTTTGGCAGAAAGTTCCGGGAACAGCCTCATGGAAGAGAAGCAGATCCTGTGCGTGGGGCTAGTGGTGCTGGACGTCATCAGTCTGGTGGACAAGTACCCTAAGGAAGACACGGAGATAAGGTAGGGGCGCCCGGGCCTCTCGGAGACCCCGGAGCCACTGCAGCCCAGGTTTGTGCCCGGCAGCCAAAGCTACGGAGCTGGCGAGCCAGGGACCCCGCAGTGAGACAGTGAGAGCCCAGCCTCTGAGCCGGCGCCCTCTGCCTGGGAAGCCTGGAGAGCTCCAGCAGGAGAGGAGAGGAAGGAATTGAGGCCTTTAATAATAAGGCCAGGCTTTGGTTGTCATTGTGTTAGCCAATCCCCATCTCAACCCTGCGACCTTGGCAGGTATCAGGATCCTCATTTTACTAATAAGCAAGTGGAGACTGAGAAAGTGATTTATCTAAGTACACAACTGGTAAGGTGTGAGAACAGTTTCCTTTTTTTTCCCTTACTAATAAGCAAGTGGAGACTGAGAAAGTGATTTATCTAAGTACACAACTGGTAAGGTGTAGGAACAGTTTCCTTTTTTTTACACAACTGGTAAGGTGTGAGAACAGTTTCCTTTTTTTTCCCCCCCCCGGTATGGGGATCCAAATCCTTGACTTTGGTGTTACCAGCACCAAGCCCTAATCATTTAACCGGCCAGCACCCTTCCCCCCTTTTTTTTTAACTCCAAGCATCAGTACGAAGTCCTTTCACCAACATTTACTTCTAATTTGTTTACCATATATATGTCTCACTTATTTCTAGAAAAGATTTGAAGTAGCTTACAGTAAGAGGTGTGTGCCATTAGACTGTTCAAGAACTTTTAAAACTGTGCTATTAGAGCTTTGACTGTAGCTCAGGGCTTGCTGGCACGGGAAGTGAGTATGGAGATGTTGTGGGTTATGGATAGAGCTGGTTCATCAGCCACACAGACTTCTCCCTGGTGCCACATTCCAAAAGGAATTTGCCAGAAGTCCTTTTACAAGGGTCAGCAAGCACCACAGTGGAAAACATCCTTTTCAGTTGTCTGGTAGAAGCTGAAGAGTCATTTGTTGGTTCTCATATTTAGTTCTGATAAGGGCCATACCATTACACCCATAAGGCCTTGTAGGCATTTCTGTGGGCACGAGCTGCTAGCTTTCTCCTGGTGCAGTCTAGCACTTAGAAAGCTGAGAATTTCTCCTGGTTATCAGTTGTCTCAGCCAAGAACTGGATAAAAGGCAGTTCCGGACTGAACTCTGGAAGACAGTACAGCTCTGATAACCATGAGGTTAATCGAGGGGAGAGACCACACTCTTCAGGCCCGGAGTCCACAAACACTGCCACATGCATTGTCTCATACTCCCCACAGCTGCCCATGGGAACTGTATAAGGATAGGGCACATGCCTCGTATAGATGAGGAAGCTGGAGATTTGGAGGAATTAATTATTTGTTTAAGGCTGTGAGTTAATGAGCAGCAGAGCAGCAATTACAGCTCAAGTCTCCTAACTCAGAGGCTAGTGCTCCAGCCTTCTTCGTCTCTTGACTCCGTCCCTTTGCTGCTGCCCATCTTTGTTTGGCAGAGGTGCAGCGTGCAGGGACAGTGCAAAAGGGGCACAGGCTGTGCTTCTGTGTAGGTAACCCACTTACCATGGTGGCGTCAGCCCCAGGACAGGGTGCTCAGTGAGGAGTTAGGCTTTCTCTCAGGGAAACAGTGCAAATTCCGGAGCCACAGGTTCTCTAAGCACTGTGGAGGGTCTGGGGGAGACCCAGAGAGGGAAACTAGAGCCGAAGCCCCATTCCCTGTGAGGTTAATTATGTTGGGAGACTAGAGGAAGGTCCTGCTAGCTCCCACGCTGACGGGGCAGGTTCTAAAGGTGAGTCCTAAGTGAGGCACCTCTCCAAGGAGACCCTTCCCACGTATGCAGCACTCCCTGCCCTTCATAGTGTGCCGCCTCCTCTCCCATCCCCATGGCTCAGCTTCTCTGCAGTCCAGCTCCTGGACTCTTGCGCCTCCCAGAAGAGCAAATCTGAGTGGGGACCCAGTCCTTCCTGGGCACCTCAGCCCCATCTGTCCCAGGGTCTCTGTGCTTGACAGGCTGTTGGGAACTCTCAGGAACTACTCCCAGGATCTCAGCCAGACCCCTGAGGAGTGGGTCTCAGCCCACGCTGAGAAGAGCCTTCTAGAACATCCTCGTACTCAGCTGAGCATTTCGGCACAGGAAGTATCAGTGTGACTTTAAAGGTTTTTCACGGAGTAAAATTCCTCACACTTTCATAGAAACCTCATCAAAGTCTGGCTGGTTAGATCAGTTGGTTAGAGTACAGCCTTATAACACCAAGGTGGTGGGTTCAGATCCCCATACTGGCCAGCCACCCAAAAAAAAAAAAAAAGTATTAAACCACTGGTTGACAATTGGCTTTAAGAAACAACAACAACAAAAAAACCCTCATCAAAGCTTGGGCCTAACTGCTTTTCATTTAAAAATACAAGGAAATAGTAATAGCTTTTGGAGTCAGGAAACCTGGGTTCTGATGTCACCTTTTTTCCCCACCTATTTCAGCTTTGTCATTTTAACTGTTGTAAACTTGAGCAAGTCAGATCCCTCTAGACTCCTTCTTACTTTGCATGAAAGTTTCTCTAAAGCACATAACTTGAAAAATCTTTGACACTTTACAAATTAGTATTCTTTTTTTCTAATGAGATGATGCTCTCCTTTTCCCAAGGCAGAAGGAAACTTCAAGGTTAAGTTCCCTTTATATATACAAATATACCTTATCATATGAGATATATTTGTGTTCAAATATCCCTTTGTACCCAAATATACCTTAGCCTAAAATTTTGGTTATTTCTCCTAATTAGTTGCTCTTATCGTAAGCTGCCGTAATAATTATTATTTTCTTTTTGGAACCAGCACAACAGAAATAACAACATATACTGTTTACCTCGCAGTGTTACTGCAGCACAAATGAGAAATTGTTTAAGTGCTTTGACTCTATGTGTGCAAGTTATCCCTTTTGTTGTTGACGATGACAGTGAAGCCCTTTAGGTATATCTTTTTTTTTTTTTTTTTTTTTTGGATAGATTTTCAGTAAAGATGGAGGAAAACCAGTCTTCACCCAATAATCTTTTTAACTTTGACACCGTAAAAGTTAGCACCTCCGCTTCTTAAATGATCACAGTGTGCAGCTTTGCTCTCTGGTCTTACTCATTTTATTTGATAACTGCAGTTATTATTGAAGTAGGCTCTCTTAAGACAGGATTGGATAGTAAATGTGATAGCTTTGGGAAGAAACACTTAGTTTCCAAGGTCCTTGGAGTTGATGCAGCTGTCAAGAAGGAGGCTGAAGGTACAGCCCTCTGGGAGCAGCGCTGACCTGGGTGAAGGGGGTCATTGTAACTGAGGAGGAGATGACCCAGACTTAGCAGGGCCCTCAAACTGTGACGGACTCGAGTGAATGGTTTCCTGATGCCCTAAGAACAGGTGGAAGCGTCGAAAGTTATCTCTGTGAGCTTGAATTTAGCCTGGGCTGGGGAGACAGACCCGGCCCTCAGCCAAGCCCCTCCTTCAGCTGAGCCTCAGTGGCCCCATGTAGAAAATGAGACCGTGGCCTCGATGCTTTCTGAGGGGAGCCCCGGTTGTTATGTTCTGTGGGCCCGACACAGGGGACTGGGGTTGGCCCAGGACCAGTCTGCTGGGGCTGCCAGACCCTCCTTGTGCTTCACAGGTGCTTGTCCCAGAGATGGCAGCGTGGAGGCAATGCATCCAACTCCTGCACAGTTCTCTCCCTGCTTGGAGCCCCTTGTGCCTTCATGGGCTCACTGGCCCCTGGCCATGTTGCCGAGTGAGTCCAGCGGGGAGCACTCACTGGGGGAGGCTTGCATGCAGGATTGGGGGGAGGGGGAGCAAGCAGTCTTAACCCGGGATGGGCGGGGTATAAAAAATAGCTTGTGGCCACCAGAAGGGGTGGGAGGGGCACGTTGGGCAGTGGAGGACTGGACTCCCAGGCCCCCCTGGTGTGGCTTATCTGCTGTCAGGTGTTAACAGTTCCTGAGAAGGTCTCACTTCCACAACCTGCTTCCTGGCCACTCTCGGGAGCGTGCTTCAGCTTCCCCACCTTCTCCTTCCTTGCCTCCTACAGACTTTCTGCGGTGGATTTGCCTTTGCCCTCTGAAGTCCCTTATCCTGGCTATGCTTGAGGCAGAAGGCAGTTAGGGACTTGCTGTACCTGTCCTCCTCAAGGACGTCCAGCATCCATGGCCCCCAGACCCAGGCCCACAGTTTATTTCTCAGTGGAGGGGTAGGGCCAGTGCTCCTGTCCCCATTGTTCAGTGAAGCAGCCAGAGTACCCTGCCCAAGGACACATTGAAGGCTTGTGCTAAATCTAGGCCCAGAACCCATGCCTCCCAGCTCCACAGCTGTCGAAGCCACAGCCCATAAGTGGCCCATGTGCTTTCTCAGTGTTGGCTGCTGCAAGGACCCAAGAGTCCTTTGACCCCTGGCGCTGCCAACTCAGCAAGCACTTATCGGGAGGTGAGGCCCACACTTTGCCCACTGTGAGCACCGGGGCAGGCTGCCAGGTTGCTGGCCTGTGAAGCACAGCCCTTTGAACCCTGGTTTGAGGGGGGCTACTGCCGGAGCCCAACGACTTGAGCCACAGACAAACTCCCCACCTTGATGGACTGGCATGACATGGATAGGGGGCGAGAATCTGCCCTGGGAGATGGACAGAGGGACTCAGAGCCAAGGGCTGGTCACTTGTTAACTGCTTCAATAGCACCTTCCCTCCTAGCTGGAGGCAGGCCTGTGGCTCTTGCTCAGGGTGGTGGACTCTCCTTTATGTAGCGATCATGCTGATGGGTGGGCCATTCAGAACTCTCCCCATGTGTCCAACAAACATTTAATGAACACCTACCATGTGCCAGGCAGTGTGGTACAAAAAGTTATTTAGCAAAACAAACCATGTTTCTGATGCTTTGGGAAAGCTACTAAAGGATCCTTGGGTTGTAAGTCAAGGAATGATGCCATGACTTAGTGCCTTTATACAAATCTGTATGGTCCAGCTTTGATGTTGCTGAAAGTGGGGTCTGGCCATAGTGAGAGAAGCCAGGATGGTGGCTGGACTGCTGGGCATAATTGTCAGCTCTTGGGCACAGAACAGTGCATTCTCAGAGAGGGCTGGCTTCTTTGTTCTCCTGCTGGTGCAGTCTTCCTGGGGGTATACCCCTGGGCTCACTCTGATGGACGGCAGTCATGGAAAGGGTCTTAGAGCAGGCCCATACTGAGTGGCACAGGCACTGGGAGCCAGCTCCCAGCCCAGGACGGTCCACCTGGCTGTGAGAGGACAGGGCAGTGAGTGGGCCCACCTCCTGGCTCGGCGTCCCAGAGGCAGGTGTAGAACAAGAGGAATCACAGCGTTAGAAGTGGAAGGGACTCCGGGGAAGAAAGCACCGTGAGGATGCAGAGGGCAGCTGGGGCAAAGTATTACCTTGGTAATTAATTATTAATTCTGCCCGGGCCTTGCATTAAATGGACTACAGCGTCCCCACCCCTGGCTTGGTTCAGATGGGATACAGGTTCTAGGTCCCAAATCTACCCCGTCCTACCTTTATGAACATGAGCAAATCAGGATTGGAGTGTGCTTGTCAGGACTTAAAAGAATGTCCCTTAGTGTTTCTCTCTCTGAGCTCCAGGCTCTGCACCCCTGCCTCTGCTGTTCCCTTACACAGCTTGTGGCAAATCTGTGATTCTCAGTTCTCTCCTAGCCCCCTCTGCTTGCACTCTGCCTTTCAGGGGCCCTAGTGGCCCTGCTAGCTACCCTCCAGTCCCCAAAACCCTTGTCGAACTGCAACTCCCGCGGGTTACTCCGCCCTGGCAGTTTTGTCCTGGATGACCTCCGCCGCTATTCTGTGGACCTACGCTACACAGTCTTTCAGACCACAGGCTTCGAACCCATCTCCACAGTCATCATCAACAAGGCCAATGGTAGCCGCACCATCCTATACTCCAGGTTTGTACACCCGTCTGCGCTTTGCCAGCTGCTGCCGCCATCACTAAACTCCCTGAACAGGACCCTTCTTCTCTCAGAGGCCCATGTGCTCCAGCATCCCTCCCCACTCCCATGGGAGGTCCAGGACACTTTCAGGCTCTAATCTGTGTCTCCTTGCCCTTTCCTTGACTCGGGCTCCACCCCAAGCTTCCTGGTGGCTGACTTCAGGCGGCGGGGCGTGGATGTGTCTCAGGTGGCCTGGCAGAGAGACGGGGAGACCCCCAGCTCTTGCTGCATCGTCAGCAACTCCAATGGCAATCGCACCATTGTGCTCTATGACACGTAAGGCCCCCCGGCCTCACCCTGCCACAACCCACCAATCAGTTCCCTCACTTGCCACCGTGGGCATCCCAACTGCTGCAGCCTACCTGTACCAGAAATTGCCCCCATGCCAACCTGTCCAGTGATTTCTGAATTGTTTTCAATTAGGGGAGAGGAGGGGTGGAAAGGGATGGGCTTTGTTCTGCCTGGTGACTTGGCCTTGGTCAACACCAAGAATGGGCAGGCAGGTCTGTACAAAATATAATTTATAATGTGATTGCTCCATAATCAGTCAATCAGCAGCTTGGGTGTGGGTGTGGGTGTGGGGAAATTGTTCTTAGGACAGAGGGATTGGAGGTGTGATTCAATCCGTTTATAATGTGATTGCTCCATAATCAGTCAATCAGCAGCTTGGGTGTGGGTGTGGGTGTGGGTGTGGGGAAATTGTTCTCAGGACAGAGGGATTGGAGGTGTGATTCAATCCATCTTAAGCCCTGAAGGGCTAGGGGGCCCACTGGGATTTCCAGGGTCAGCCCCAGAGTTGCCAGCTTGCGTGGCACTGGGGAGCTGGGGTTTGGGTGTTCAAAAGAGATGAGCCCCCAAAGGTCTTAGCATGATGAAACCAGACCAAACATGCCATACACCATTTGCAGCCATTGCTGGAGGAGAGAGAAAGGGACACTGGGTCAGCGGACCAGGGCCACCTAATGTGGTACTAATCTCGGGGGAGGAAGCACCCCTTCAGGGTCCCAAGCTACTCAGGAGAATGCCCATGGGCCTAGACCCTTCTCATCTCTCCCAGACTCCCTCCTGAAGAATCTCAGAGGTTTAGTTTCCTGAGAACCTAGTATGCCAGGTACTGTGTTAAGGCTGGGAGAGTCCAAGCCCAGCTTCACTGTGGTCCGGGCTGTCCCTCCTGCCCAGCATGACCACTGGACCTGGGGGAGAGGAGCAGTCATCCTAGGACAAACTTTATAGTCCCTGGGCTCCATATGTGCTCACAAGTGAGTGGGCAGGCATATGCACTAGAGCTGACCTTCGGATTGGGCAACCCTAGCCCTCTGCCCATTAAGCAACAATTTGTAGCAACTTTGATCAAGGACACCACATGGATATTCACAGGAAGGGAGGGAGAGGAGCTCTGAGGAGAAATGTTTATTGCCCACTGGCCTCAGTCCAGGCGTATTCACTCACATACCTCCACCTGCCCCAGGCCTGTGAAGCTGGGGGTTTTGGCCCCACTTACCAATGGGGAAGCAGCCTCAAAAGGGCCCAGGTCACACAGCTAGTTAAGTGGGTGAAAGATTTAGCCACAGAACATGGAGGGAGGACCATCGGCTGTGTGCAGGTCTCCAGCCAAGGAGGGTAGAGGCAAACCCCTTCTGGGGTCTCCACCTGTAAGCCAGCCAAACATATAAACTCTACTTTAAGTGCCAACTTGTACCTCAGGGTTGCAACAGGGAGCTGCCAAACTCAGGACAGGGGTGCTGTGGGTGCCACAGGCAAGCTCCCAGCGCTGGGGCACCAGAAATGAGCGGGACCATCTGAGAGCAGCAGAGCGGCCACGGGCCTTGCAGTTGGCAGAGTGCTGCATGCATGGTGCTGTGCGCTGCCCACAGGGGGATGCTGGGAAGTGTAGTCTCTGGTGCTCCCAGTGCATTCTGGGAGATGTGGTCTCCGAGACACAGAGCTGGCCCCTTGACCAGTGTTGCAGTTGAATTTACATTTAGATAATATCACTGCCTCAAACTCAGCAAGGGGCACCCCAGCAAACTGGGACAGGGCCCATCCTAGAGCAGAGCCTGAGATGCTGTGCTGTAGATCCACCTTCCTGCCATGCTGCCAGCAGCTCTGCACAGGTCCCCAGCAGCCAGTTACAGATCTTAGCCCTGGCTGACCTCATCATGCCCCTTCTTCTCTGTCCTTTCCATCTTGTGACCTAGGAACCTGCCAGATGTGTCTGCTAAGGACTTTGAGAAGGTTGATCTGACCCGCTTCAAGTGGATCCACTTTGAGGCAAGCCCCGCCCTACCTGTGTTTTGAGCAGCTCCACCTGCTAGTCCCTTCCACGTGTTCTGCCTCATTCTTGGTTTATTTGAAGCATGAAGTACCTTAGAGATAAATGAATCTAACCTCCCTCATCCCCTCTCCATCCTTCCTTAGTGTTTTCAGGTGAGGAAACTAAGGCCCAGAAAGATTGGGTGACAGTGGAGGTCACACAGCAGGCGAGGTCCAGGGCTTTCTGTGTTACAGGCTGCTTCACCTCCTCTAACTCTACCTCTGGCAGGAGGCTGGCTTCTTAGGGTCTGACCCCTTATCTCTGGGGAAGAAGGAATGAGAGTGCCTGACCCAGCTAAAGGGAACTAGAACCTTCACTCCAAGAGAGAAGTTTTGGAGTCTGGGTGGAAGAAAACCCTGAGGAGTCCTGAGTTCTAATTCTAGCCCTGTCATTTAACTTATCGTAGGTTCTTCAGAAAGTCTTTTTTATTCTTTAGTCTCCTCATCTGTGAAGCGGGAGAGCTAGCTGATAAGGTCTCCAAGGTCCATACAGCTCTAGCATTTGGTAATTTAGGATGGTTCTAGCCCAGCCTCCTTCCCAGCTCCTCTCCCTCCTCACCCAGAGTTCCAGCAGGGAGGGAAGAATGAGCCAGATCCCAGCCAGTCCTGAGCTGCCCTGTCCTGCCCCAGGGCCGGAACGCATCAGAACAGGTGAAGATGCTGCAGCGGGTAGAACAGCACAATGCCAGGCAGCCTCCAGAGCAGAAGATCCGGGTGTCCGTGGAGATAGAGAAGCCCCGAGAGGAGCTGTTCCAGCTGTTTAACTATGGAGATGTGGTACGTGCTCTATCAGCCTGTGCTTGCCACATCCAGCTAATTTGGTTCTTCAAGGGAGTCAGAGAGTCCCCTTGTCCTACCGACCATGCTCGGAATGGCAGTTCATGGCTTGGTGGTATGTTGGAGGGCAGGGTGCAAAGCAAACAGGCAGACCCGCAGCTTTGGGCTCTGGTGCAGGCCTCAGCATTGGCCAAGGAATAGAATTTCTCCACCCCAGGTGGGTGCATGGGTATAAGGGTGCCCAGAAGGCTCGGACAGGGAAGCCTTTGCACAAATATCTCCTCTGAGTCTCCTCAGTCTTTTCCTTTGCAAAATGAGGGGACAGAACTGTTCTCTAAGATTTTGTCCAACCCTGGGGTGGGTGGCAGGTTGTGGGAGATACTAGGGGTGACAGGAGGGTAGGAAGGAGACTTGCGCAAGGTAAATTTGGGCAGGGCTGGGATGTAAATGGATTTGGGTGATAATCCCAGCATCATAGCTGAAGCTGGTTGGAGACCACTCAACCTGTTGGTCCTCAATCTTGGCTACATGTTAAAAAATATGGATGCCTGAGCCCCAACCTCTTGTTTTTTATTTGATGGGTAGGGGGTAGAACCAAGGCATCGTTTTTTTGTTTGTTTGTTTTTACCCAAACTCTCTCTGGATATTCTAATGTGTGGTTAGTGTTGAGGGAGCTCTAGAGTCCCTACCCCTTTTACAAATGAAGAAACCAGACCTAGAGAGCATAGTTGTGTGCAAAAAAATAAAACAAAACACACTCCTGAGAGCCAGTATAGTTTGACTCGGCAGTGGCAGATTTTGCCCCACAATGGCGCTCAGGGCTCTTCCCCTTTTACAAATGAAGAAACCAGACCTAGAGAGCATAGTTGTGTGCAAAAAAATAAAACACACTCCTGAGAGCCAGTATAGTTTGACTCGGCAGTGGCAGATTTTGCCCCACAATGGCGCTCAGGGCTCTTTGTGGGTCTTCAATTCACTGACCTTAGAACAAACTGACCAGGGCGTTAGTGTCACAATTTACAGGGTTGTATTTTAGCATATCTTAAGCAAGTATAAAAATGTGTTCCTGTGGGACGGCGAGATGCTATGTTGGGGATTTATGTAGCCATGTTGGGGGAGTCGTGTTATAATGTGGGGGCAACACCAGGCTGCTGCTGGTGAGTGACGAGAGTTAGCAGTGAACACCAGCCTCTCTTCCACTGCCCGCAGGTGTTTGTCAGCAAAGACTTGGCCAAACACTTGGGATTCCATTCAGAGGAGGAAGCCCTGAGGGGCCTGTATGGTCGTGTGAGGAAAGGGTGAGCTGGCGAAACCAGGAGGGGGCCCTGGAGACAGGGGTGAGCCGGGATGCCAGGGGTCTGCCCTGCTGGGGCGGGGCTGGGCTAACTCCTGGCTGAGTGGCGGGTCTTGCAGGGCTGTGCTGGTCTGTGCCTGGGCTGAGGAGGGCGCCGGCGCCCTGGGCCCTGACGGCCAGTTGCTCCACTCCGATGCTTTCCCGCCTCCCCGGGTGGTGGATACTCTGGGGGCCGGAGACACCTTCAATGCATCCGTCATCTTCAGCCTCTCCCAGGGTGAGTACCCACCCATGCAAGGGAACAGGGCTGGGGCCGGCCCCTGCCCAGAGCACCAGGCTGATCCAGCTACTTGTCCCTCTTCCAGGGAAGAGCATGCAGGAGGCCCTGAGGTTTGGCTGCCAGGTGGCCGGCAAGAAGTGTGGCCTGCAGGGCTTTGATGGCATTGTTTGAGAGCCTGTGGCAGCAGGCTGGTGTCACTGCTGCCGTGGCCCTCTCCCTTCCATCCAGCCTGGCATCCGGGCTGCCCTGCTCCTTGGGCAGACGCAAGCTGTGGAGAGGACTCTGCCTGTGTGTCTTGTGTCCCCCACACGTCTCACCCTACAGAGCCTCAGAACAAATAAATCTCCTTGCCATGAGCCAGCTTTGTCTGGCAGTCTGTTCTTCCCTGATGCCCTAATTGCTTTGGTTGGGGATTCCCGAGGCTTTGACACTACAGTCCTCCCTCTTTTCATCCATTCCCCAAATTAATCTTCCCACCCAGGCCAGAGGAGAGGCTGCCTAAGCCAGAGCAGCAGGAAGTGCCCCAAGCTTGCCACCAGCTCTGTCCTCAGAGTGAAGGAGGCTCAGCTCTTCCTGGTGAAGAGAAGCCACAGCACGGTAGGTACAGATCTTGAGCCTTCCTGGCTGGGGAGGACTCAACTCCCCGCACTCCAGCGAACCTTCCAAACGACCAGAAGCCACGAGAAAAGCTCCCCTGGGCCCCGGGCTGTGCAGGGTCTCCACTCCCATGGCCTCAGGAGCTGGGAGTCCACATGGCTGAGCCAAACTGACAGGCTGGCGGGCAGGGAGCCTGCTCTGTGATTTGGGGGGGCCTTCACAGTCCAAACATATCTTCTCCGTGAACTGGCCCAGAGCCTGAAAGCGCCCCCTTGGAGCCTGCCTTGTAAATAAGGCGGTGCGTCAGCCACACATGTGACCCAGGATACAGTGTTGCTGTCCCTCGGGGAGATCAGATGAGGAGGGCATAATGGAATTGGGGGCCGACTCCAATATGGAAGTTGGGGCAGGTTGAGTAAGGCCATAACATGTGGTGAAGAGCGTGGGCTTTCGAGTCAGACAGACTCGAATTTAAATCTGCCATTTAATTAGCTGTGTGTCACTTTAGGATACATAAAATTGATCTTCCTCAATTTCCTCATCTGTCAAATGGAGATAATTCTGCCTAGTCATAGAGTTACTGTGAGGGTAAAATCAGGGAATATATAAAATGCCTAGCATGGTATTTGGTGTATATATTATGCTCTTAAAAAATGGTAGTTGTTATTAATATTACTGGGTGTGGGGACAAGGTGATGGGGACCATCTGCTACGAGCTGCAGGAGGTCATGGGGTGTCTGAACACCAGGTAAAGGGGGAATGGGAGAGTGTTTGGGCCCCAGGGATAGACTGAGCTTTTCTTCCTGGGGTTGTCTGCAGCTGGCTGTAGCTAGCACTGTAGACTGCTATCTCAGCACCACCGGCCTGGGAACACTGGGAAAGCTAAATCCCTGTCCTTCCAAGAGGACTGTCTGTTCCCCAACCCCTGCGCCCCTGAGGGGGTCTGAGTAGGCTGGACTGGTGAGAGATGGCCCAGGGGGATTAATTCGATCAGTTCTTTATTAGTTTTCTGGGCCCTAAAGCTCCCTTTCAACTTAGGGTCTCCCTGAGCTGCACAGAATGACCTTCCACCACTGGAGCTAGAAAGGGGACATAGAGGTGGTCCTCGTCTCAACACCCACAACCCACCCTCTGGACACCGAGACTTTGAGGGGTGCGGACCTCTATCCTCAAGGTTTATATCTCATCATTCTCCAGTTGAATAGCATGAACCTCAAACTCATCTGGGGTGTTCTTAGACACCAGTTTTTCCCCTGGAAGTTCCTTGGCTGCCTCTCCATTGTCCCTGACCTCTGCTTGTCCCCCAGCCTCCCCTCCAGGACCTGGGGCATCTCCTTCAGCCTCCAGCTGACCCCCACCCTCCTGTACAGGCTCCAGGGACTCCCTTTTGACCTCTACCTGGTCCCCAGCTTCTTCTCTGGGACTGAGGACTTCCTGTGTTTCCTGTCTTAGGGGGCTTTTAGCTAACAGAGACTGCCTCCCAACAGCTTGTGGCTCTTGGGGAGCTGGAGCAAGGGGCTCTCTGGCCTCTGCATATCTGGGGGCCTCTCCTGGGAAGTTGATGAGCTCTGCAGGAGTCATGAGCCCGTCCCCATTCAGGTCCTGGGTCTCGAGCACCTTGTCCACTACCAGGATCACCTGTGAAAGCACAGAGTCACTGTGGGGTCTCCAGTGACCGGAGATGTTCCCAGGAGCCCTGACCCTCCCCAACACCTTCACCCCCACCATCTTCCCCCACATCCTTGCTATGCAGGCTCTGAGCTCTCCTTTTACAGGGGACTCACCAAAAGAGTCATGATGAAGAAAATACCAAAGCCCCAAGGAGCCGGGTCTCCTTCATGGGAGAAGGGGGCTCCCCATCCAGCAGAGCTTACCGGGCTGGTGGTAGGAGAGTTAGCAGCTCCAGGGGCCAGAGCTGCTGTCAACATGGACAACAGCTCCAGGCCATCCAGCTGTCCACTCTGGTCATAGTCATGGAGAGCAAAGAGGTAGAGGAGAACTAAGGAGGAGAAGCTGGGTTAGTAGAAGCATCCAGGTTGGTTAGAGCATGGTGTTGTAACACCAACGTCAAGGGTTCAGATCCCCATACCAGCCAGCCACCAAAAAAAAAAAAAAAAAAAAAAAAA